GAAATGATGGAGTGGCATGGTAGTTTGGACATTTGGGACACCTTTGACCTCCGCCTCATGGGGACCGGCCTTGTGCTGATCTTTCTAAGAGAAATTGTTCAAGCAGGCAGTGAATAAACTGATTCAAATATACTTAAAGGAAAAAAGAAAGACAATTTACCAGTTTACAGTCAGAATGCGACCTTAATAATCAGTTAGTTAACGGTACCCGTAGCATGGCACATGGGATCCCTAAGAGTCCAAGCTGACTTGAGGGCACCTAACAACAACAACATACCCTTGGGGTCAAAACAAAAACCAAATTCACTCCCGTCGAGTCGATTCGACTCACAGCGACCCCTCCTTGAGTTTCTGAGGCAGTATCACTACAGAAGTAGATCACCCAATCTTCCTTCCAAGAGTGGCTGGTGGGTTTGAACTGCCAGTCTTCTGGTTAGCAGTCAAATGCCTTAGGCACTATGCTACCAAAAGAGTAATCACTTTAGTCAATACCAATATAATTATCCCAGTTAATTAGTAATACTTACACTAAGAGTAATTATTTCTTGCATATCTAGTCTCAATGGTTTATTTCAGAATTTGTAAGCTTCTAAAAGATTTCCTAGTTGCAAGTAAGTGTGCTTAACTTTAAACATTGAAAACTTCATTGTTGGAAATGAAGTCAATGGAAAACAGACTTCTTTTCCTAATTAAGTTTTTTAAGAAGACTACAATTAACATAAATTTATATGTAGTTCATTAAAATCATAAACAAAAGTCAGTGGTCAGGGTTGCTGTAATTAATGTAAAACAAATGCATGTGACACACCACAACCTCAGTGAGATTTGTGTATCTTTCCAAAACCACAAAACTTAAGCATACATTTTTTTTTCCATCAAAAAATTTAGAGATCAGAAGTATAGGCACAAAGAAATTAGAAAACTGGCACTTTGCTAATTACAATACCCCTTGAACATAGTAATTCTCAAAGTGACAAAGCATGAGCATATTAAAGTATACTTTGTACTATGAAATTAAAAGAGAGAAAATTAAAGACCATGTAGTCATAAATTATATTTTCAAATAATTATTCAATGATATGGGAAAATGTGCTCAATGATATGGGAAAATGCGCACAATGATAAAGAAGGAAAGAAGGAAAAAAAACTCTGTAATGATTCCAATTGGATGTTAAATATTCTATAAATAGACTAGAAGAAAATACATAAAACTGTTAATAGTTACCTAGGTAACGAAGATACCCAGATGATTTTCATGTCCTTCTTCAAAAGTTTCTACATTTTCTACAATAAACACTTAAATTGTTATAAGGAAAATAACCGTTATTATAAGAAAGAAGTTCAAGCATTTCCATGAGATTACCTTGTGATGTAATGGTGTCTGGGTTACAATAAAAATATCTATTGGAGAAGTGTACCAAAACTCTCTCTCGTTCTTGAGTTTCTCCCACCAGAGAAAATGCTTTAAAGAAATACCTAAAAAAAAAAAAAAAAAAAAGAATTTATGGGGATAAAAGTGAAAATTTAAAAAAGGTTCAGTTAAAAAGTTCATTTTATAAATATTAGAAACTAATGTAAAGATATTCTACAGTTATTTTTTTAAAAAAATCATTTTCATGTTATTCAAAAATTAAATATAAATTTACATTGACATTTAAGTTCAATGTAAATGGAAACAGAAAAGATGACAGGATAATAATGTTGTGACCAATATGTCAACAAAGTCCTCAGAAGGTAAGTAATTTCTCCATTATGATTAAGTATCAATTAACCAATTTTAAAAGATTAGAAGATAAAGAAAATTAGAAGGAAAATAAAAAAGGAGAAAAACCAGAGTATTTCAGATTGGCTACAATCACTCAGGCTGTGTTTTATAACTCTGCATGCAGCAGGGATCTTTTGCATGATTTCTTGATTGTAATCTCTATTGCCCTACTGTTACATTCACAATTAAACAGAACTTTGTTCATTTTATTTAGCCTATTATCACCAATTTATGTTACTAATTTTGTCATATAAAGAAGAAATTAGGAGACAAAATGTAATTTATTCCCAATATCACAGAATAAATTATGTATTCAACTTTTTTGCACTATAGACAATATACCGAGAACCATTTGTCAATTTAATTCAAACAATTAAGCACTAGGCTGCTAACCAGAGGGTTAGAGGTTTGAACCCACAGAGTGGCTCCATGGGAGAAAGACTTGGAAATCTTCTTCTGTAAAGATTATAGCTGAGAAAACTCTATGTATGGGGCAGTTCTACTGTGTTGCATGGGGTCATTAGGAGTCAGAATTGACTAGGACTATCTCTCTACTATACATACATCTAGATAAGCCTTACTTTACAAAGTAGATAAAATTCCTAAACATGAGACGGGGAAAATAAATTATTTAAGATATTTTAAGAATTCTTACTACTGAAAGAAACTCCCAATAATGTTATTTCTATACTGAAAAACTACTTCTCTTCCTTATTAACAATGTATGTTTTGTTAATGTAAACTATAGCTATCAAATTCTTCTTTTTCGTAATGTGTGTGTGTGTACATGGATCAGAAAGCAGAGCAAACAAAGACCCTTTCTCTACCCCCTAGAAAATCTACAACCTATGAGGACTCTCTGCTCACGCAAAGGGCCACAGATTAAGTCGCTATTGTACATTCTAATCAAAACATCCTCTTTTCACCTCCTCAGATTTCTGTTTTCTGATTTTTAAAATAAGAAGGTTATATAAGATGGTCTCAAAATTCTCCAGGCACTTACATTTCATAAAGACTTTTTAAGATGAAATGCTTTGCCTTTAGCTACTCTCAAAAAATTTGCAGTACAATGTGGTGTGATAAGTGAGGATCAATGTATTCAAGACACCTTCATTTGAACAGATCAGCAAAAAGGAAATATGTCCTGAATCAGTTCCACACACACAGAAAGTAATATTACATCAATATTCACTTTCATTCCATTTCAGAGTTAATTTCAAAGTATATTCTTAAAATGCAATTTGGCTATTGTAAGAAAAAGCCTAGAAAAAATAAAAACTTACAGTTCTGCAATCTGTAAACTATGCCTTGAAAAAAAAAAACTGTTAATTCAAAAATAAAATTCATAAATTCTATTTTTCCTCAAGACGTACTTTGCCACCATTCTTTAGTATGTCATCTGGATTTAGGCTTATCAATAGATGCAGAATATAGGTTCATGTGTAATTTCATAAAAACAATGTATTGTCTCATTTGCTATTATGTTTAACACATCTACAGAACAAAGTGAGCTAAGTTCACAAAGTAATTGTGAGTTTCAAAAATTAATAAAATCTGATTTAACTTCAGCACATTATTTTCTCTTCCAAGGATTATTTGGAAGTATATGAACAGAAATGGTGTTTAAACAGACCTGAGAGACTGATCCAGCGTCATTCCTGTGAAATCAAAAAACTTCAGATATTCTTCTGCAACTAGTTTGCTAAATTCATTACTAGAAGAAAACAGAATAGGCTTGGTTATTAAAATCGAAACTACTAAAACACACACACACGTGGATTTAAAAAAAAAGTTTAAAAACGTACTTCTTGCCTAGGTGCTTTGCGACATCCGACCTTTTGAATCTGTCTAGTTGATAAAGACGTTTGGCCAACCTTTTGGCTGCTTCCACGTTGCTGCTGGTACCATTACTGAGACTTTCTGGGGTCTCCTTTTCCAGAATTTCAGTGCTCCCCATTTCAGAACGAGCTTCTAGCAGTGTCTTTTTCACCCCAGCATTACTGTTAAAATTGATAAATACGGAGAAAAAAGTTTTTCTTGTGTGGCAAAAAGGCAGATACTTATGAAATTATAGAAACAACTAAATGGGAACTATTTCAAATGAGATGATTTTATTCTGTTGTTGTTGTCATGTGCTGTCGAGTCGTCTCAAAATCATAGCGACTCCTCCTTAGGTTTCCGAGGCGCTATCTCTGCGGAAGTACATTGCCCAGTCTTCCTTCCCAGTAGTGGCTGGTGAATTTGAACTGCCAGCCTTTTGATTAGCAGTCTAGTGCCTTAGGCACAACACCACCAGAGCTCCCAATTTTATTCTAGTTTTCATAAAAATATTTTCAGTTATGGTATTTCAAAGTGCTAGAAGAAAAAAGAAGTGACCTATATACCCACTGAAACATTAGATAAATGATTTTCAGACATTTTGGTCCCAGAACCCTTACCAAGCTTAGGATGGCATGTACAAATTTTCCAAAATTTGAATTTTGATTAAAATTTCACATTTTATCAACAACAACAAATACTGTCATTTGTTTTCCTTAAAGTGATAGTCTAAGGCATCTGACTGCTAACCAGAAGGCTGGTGGTTCAAACCCACCTGCTACTCCTCGTAAGGAAGACGGGGCAATCTACTTCCATACTGATACCACCTCTGAAACCCAAAGAGGCATCACTATGAGTTGGATCTGACTCAACGGCAGTGATTTTGGTTTGGTTTTTGGAAGTCTAAGTAATGTTTGTCTGTCAGTCAGTCAGTCAAAGAAAAACGATGTTCCGTGAAAAAAGCAGCTAGTTAAACTCACAACTCAAATAACAAATGAGTATTTTCCCTATAGACAGCCACAATCCTTCAGTAGGGAGCAGATGTGCTCTGTGTCACACACTTCCCATTTCTTCACACAGGAGACACATATGCAAAGGCTGAGGTGTAACAAAATTAGTCATTTTTGTTGTTTCATCAAAAATATTTTTAGCTAAAATGAGCCTTTGTTTTTACTTTGAATGAATAGCAGTGAAGCATACAATAATCATTAGAACAATTTGGTGCCAATGTCTTGATTTACGCTAAGGTATTTGTACCATCAGTACAAATATCAACACAGTTTTAAAAAAAGAAAAGTATTATTATTATAACATCGTTGACCTCACAAATCTGAAAGGTACTTGGGAACACTCAGCAATCCACAGACCACACAATGACAACCACTAAGGGTCCAAAACTACAACCTGTGGCATGTTCTAGAGTATTATATATCACGCATTTGTAACAATGAAATCAATTAAGACATGGTAATTGCCAAATCTTCATTTTAACTTGATAGCAAAACAAGGACATGTTCATTGACAAAATTTGTACTTAAATAGCCTGCCAATACACTTATCACTGATTTAAAACCAGGGGTGGTCAAAATTTTTCTGAAAAGGACCACAAAGTAAATAGAAATAGTTTAACCCTGCAGGTCACATATGGACCTCTGGTAGTGTAGTGGTTAAGGCATTTGGCTGCTAACCAGAAGGTCAGCAGTTCAAACCCACCAGCTGCTTTGCGAAAGGAAGATGGGGCAATCTACTTCCATAAAGATTTACAGCCTCAGAAACCCAATGGAGGTTACTATGAGTTGGAATCAACTCAATGGCAATGAGTTTGTTTTTGTTTGTTGCAGGTCACATCACATCTCTACCTCATACTTTTCTGTTTTTGTTGTTCTGTTACAAACCTTTAAATATAAAAAACTATTTTAAACTAGGTTGAGTTTGGTCCATGAGTGACAAGTTGCATACCCTTGCTCTGCTTTACAATACTAAAACCTGGCCTAAATCAAAAGAAGAATAACCATTTATTTTTCTAAACCAAGACACTCTTAAGAGGGAATGGGGATGATAGAATCATTACAAATTTAATTATAATTGTTACTAAGCAAATAACCAGACGGCTGGCGGTTCAAACCCACCAGACACTCCTCGGAAGGAAGGTTGGGCAATCCTACTTCCGTAGTGATACTGCCTCGGAAACCCAAGGAGGGGTCGCTATGAGTCGGGGCCGACTCGATGGCACATAACAACAACAACAACAACAACAATAGAAAAAACTACAGATTTACACATATGATATATGACAAAAATCACTGTAGCAAGAATAAAGATGTTTTTAAGCAGAACTGTTCAACCTCTATTTCACCACTATGTCACATATACCTGTTGTTGTTGTTGTTGTTATGTGCCGTCGAGTCAAACCTGACTCATAGCGACCCCTCCTTGGGTTTCCGAGGCAGTATCACTACGGAAGTAGGATTGCCCAACCTTCCTTCCGAGGAGTGGCTGGTGGGTTTGAACCGCCAGCTGTCTGGTTAGCAGGCAAGTGTCTTAGCCACTATGCTACCAGAGCTCCCATATACCTAAGAACTTTAATTTCTCATCTTCCAGCTGAAGTGGTAGCTCCCAGAATGCAGCTTTACCTGAGCTAATAGCTCTCTAGTCACCATTAGACTTGAAGGAGTTAGCTGGCCCTATCAGTTCCTCTGCAAGCATATTGTAGCAGCAAAGTCCACACGCTGTCCTTGAAAGACAAATTGGTTCTCTAGACTGTCCTGTTATATTCAACTTCATGAAGACTCTGCTCACTGTACATGTTGACTCACACATTCCCACATTTCTAGATGAGACTGTGGAAGAAGCTGGAAGTGCTGAGTGGTAGACTAGCAAATCCATGTTGTTGTTGTTATGTGCCATTGAGTTGGACCTGACTCATAGCAACCCCTCCTTGGGTTTCTGAGGCAGTATCACTACATAAGTAGATTGTTCAACTTTCCTTCCGAGAAGTGGCTGGTGGGTTCGAACCGCCAGCCTTCTGGTTAGCAGTCAAGTGCCTTAGGCACTATGCTACCAGACAGAGCTCCTCAAATCCATGCTAGCTTATTTTATTATAACTATTAAAAAATACTTCATTTAAAAAAAAATGCTAAGTCAAATGCTAAACCAAAGGACAAGCCTTAAACTAAGACTGACCCAAGCAACCAGGATATAAGGTAATCCTAATTAAAAGCCACCTTAAACAATTTTCCAAAAGAAATACCCACCCGTTAAAATAAATTGCTTCATTATGATGAAATTTTTACGTTGTTAAAATTTATCATACTAAGCTTTCCTTGATACAGTTCACATTATCAGCAAGTATTTCATCCTATTAAGAAACTATTTAACTAATACATCAATCAAACTAACAAAATAAAGTAAATTTCATGGAAGATATTTACTTTAAAGGGTGATTCACAGTTCTGTTTTTCCCACATGATAAGAAATACAAATATTCACTCCAAGAACTGAGTCATTTACAATCAAGTCATTTTTATAATTACAAAAAAAGTACCTTGAGTTGTATTTCTATACATTATCTTCCTCGATACATTAGCTATAAAGGAGCCCCGGTGGCACAGTGGTTAAACACTTAGCTACTAAGCGAAAGGTCAGCAACTGGAATCCACCAGCCACTCTGCTGGAGAAAGATGTGGCAGTCAACATCCATAAAGATTACAGCCTCAGAAACCCTATGTATGGGGCAGTTCTACTCTGTCCTATACTGTCACTATGAGTCAGAATGAACTCATTGGCGTAGGTTGTTGTGGTATTATCATGCAGAAAAAGCAAATGGCAAAGAAATATTTTCTTCTCATTTAAACTGCTACTTATTGCTCACTATTCTCAGGGCAAATCCATGGCATATATTTAATCATTCCACATGCAAACAATGTGGTTATACTATTATACCATTATTGCAGTGTAATGATTTTATTCAAATATAAAACATTTATCTTAATGGGCATATAGTAAACATTTTTAATGGTTAGAAACATTCCTATTTCCCATGTTTCAAATTTTTTTTGCCTCTTCTTTCTACTATTTTACCCAATCTTGCCTATTTCATCTAATTCCTTCACATTTACTAAAAGAGGGTAGTTTTAAAATTTGTATCCATCAGTCCTTCTGTATCTCTTCTTGGGAATAACCTCCCATAACAGGAGAAAATAAGGAATAAAGTGGGAATAGAAAAATAGCTCCATTCCTAGATAGCTTCATTCTGCCCCATTTCATGGCTTATGAGATTAGTTGAACAAGTACACAGATTGCTCCTTTTAAGTTGGAAAGCCTGGCAATACGATAGCAGCACAAACTTACCAGCACCAACACAGATGGTAGGAAGAACCCATCACAGAGTGGGGGCTGCATCTGGGCTTTACTTCCTACAACCCCCTTCACAGTAGTCATCACCACACAGCTGAAAGGTCTGCTGATCCACCTGGTTTCCAAAGATCCAACTCCCTGTGAGGTCACATTACTATGACCTCACATTCTCTGCAGAGTGTTTATTGTTGGGGTTTTTGTAATGTTTTTACAGCCCCAATAAAAACAGGAGCCAGAACACAAGGAGCCACTGTATATCAAGGGCATAAAAAACAATGGCAGCCCAGCTTTGTTCATGCTTAATAAATCAGACTGCATGATCCCTATCAGTGGGGATAACACCCCATTTTGTTTCCTGGAATAAACAAGACACTGTCCATCTAGTCTGCTGAGTATTAGATGCTTTCCACAACTTCATCAGTGGTTTGGATTTCCCCTCCTTCTTTTTGGTTCAACTTTATTTTCCTACTTTTCTATACCAAATAACTTTACAATCTCCTAAGGTAAGAAAGCCCTACCAGTCACTTAAATGTAGAAAAGACTTCCTGAAAGGTTTTCCTTGTGTTCTATAAAATGCTTCACTAGGGCTATACCCTTCACATCCAAGTAAATGTAGTTATACTCTACCAACTCTACCACATCAAGAGAAATCAAATCCTAAAGACCAGGTATTTGCATACACTTTCCATCACTTAAGGAACTCTGGTGGTGCAGTGCCTAAGGCATTTGACTGCTAACCAGAAGGCTGGTGGTTCAAACCCTCTAGCAGCTCTATGGAAGGAAGATGGGGCAATCCATTTCCACAAAGATTTACCGCCTCAGAGAT